TTCTTTTGTTTTCATTGATCAGTAAAGAAACTTTTCATCCTACAATGAAATCCACTCCCTTACTTCTAGGAGGTCATTGTGAAAAGTAAGCATAATGACAAATCTAAGACATATCTATTATTTTCCATAAAAATAATTTAAAAATCTCTGTATTCTCTGTAGTGCTATTAAACATAAAAGAAGACAGAATCCAGGACTATGTGGTAGGGTAGCAAAAGGCATGCTAGCCTTGAATGTCTCATTTCTGATATTATAGTCACTCTACACTTGAAATCCACCTTACACATAGACATTGTTCTCCTTAATCTTTTTATGCAAGCAGCAACATCAGCAAAAGCCTACCATGAAAATCTTATTGCAAATTTCTTTTTACAGCCCTAACTTCCTGATGTTTTTGAAATGCTAGTGTAATTGAGAAGGGGTTGGAGTATTCTGTGTACTTTTCACTGCAAAACACTAATATTTCCAAAGTCAGAATGAAGGGCTATTTATGACATAAAAGTTACAGCCAACTGCTGCTATCAGTATCTCAAAATATAATCAGACTGCATGAAATGTGCTCTATGGCCTCTGTGGTGCATAGTTTTATACTATTAAAAGTAGCTTAGAAATAACGGAAACTGATATTGATGGGATCTGTTCTTGATTGAGCACAACAAGGCAGATAGGAATGCTTAAGGAAACTGAAACAATAATAAAAGTAAATTAAAGATCCAGTTGCAGGCTGCAGATGACTCTTATTTCTCCTACCACATTTTCAGTAAAGACTTGGCAGGCTAGTAAACTTAGCATCTTTAATGGCCTTCTGAATATGTAAGCTATGATGAAGCAGACTTAACTGAATAATTGTTTCAGGCTGCTAAACTACAAAAAGTAGTGTGACTGCATTGACTGAGAAGAATAAGCCAGAAATTGTCCTACTGGATGCAAAAATTTAATAATTGTTAGGAAGTGCTTATAGGCAGATATATTAACAACTATGTTCAAAACAAAGCAGGACAGGACAAAAGGACAGATGAATAAAATGTAGTCTTTGTATTAGCCAGAGTGCAAATTTTCACATGCTGCATAATGTTACATAGAAAGAATTAAAGAAAAGACTGTAAATTATGATCATTCTCAAGCCTCAGACATCAATGTTTAAAATCCATACACAAAGTAGTGTACATCTGCATAGATCAGAATATGGAGAGCTATAAATGGATACAACATGGATGGAATTTCTTGCTTATACAGTAGGATTACAGCACGAACTAAATGAAAAGATTGTTTCTCCATTTCACTACCAAAATTAGAAAAAAATAGCATAACAAAATTAATTTTCAACAAAACCAAAATGTGTTTTGTGCAATTTTTCTTAGAACTTTGAGGTCATTTCTAGCTTGATTCTTAAAGTAACTTTTCAACATCATGGGGTCTACAATTTATTACAAATACCTATATGAGGTATGTAAGTATAGTCAAGTTCAGTGCAATACTAGTAATTTGTTACATGGATGCTTGTTTTGTTCAAGGGATCAGTTTGGGTTTTTATGTTTTATATACATATGAATATGCACTTAGATTTTTGTATTGCTTCTGTCTCAGATATACCTCACTGTTCTGCTTCTAACACTGAAGAACTTAACCAAAAACAAGTTTTAAAACAGATGTTTTTAATTACAGCAAAACCCATACTCTACTGCACTACAGCTATCAGAATTTTGCCTAACTTACTGAGGAAAAACCCACAGCGGTTCAGTCCAAACCAAAGATTTCTTTTAGATTTTGCTGCGATCCATGGAAACAGTCTAGAGAGGCTACATCTACATTGCATTGTTACATTGTTACTGAGAGCTGCCACAGTAGATTTCTACAAATCTCAAGGGACTTGCCGACCACATAAGTCTTGTCCCAGCATGACAATACAAGTGGTATGTTCAGGACTGGCACGTGCCCTGCTGCTTCTTGCACTGTCTCTCACACCCTTCAAACATTTGTTCTCCCCTAAGACATTTGCATCAGATAAAAGGTGCATTTAAGAATTGCTGCTAGGCTCCTGTCTTTAACCAGCACAGTTGCAAATACTGAGAAAGATGTGCTTATGTGTGGCTGCTTATTGCTGGCACTATTCCTGCTTCAAAATGGATCTCAACTTGAGCAAGAGAAAGAAGTCTGACACTCAGTGTTGGCTTTGGCTCTACCTCATTTAGGTCAAGAAATCTGTTGGGCTTAACACAGATGAGCAAATCTAGGAGAGAGAAGGAATGCAGGACAATGTGGACTTCAAGATGGCAGCAGAGAAAAAAGAATCCTTTTCAGTAGGTTTAACCAGGAGTTAAATGAGCTTACATGGCCACTGCAGAGACCAATAGTTGCAAGATAGATATTGAAATTCTTGCATGGGTCAATCTGTGGATACCCATGCACAGGTTCTGTACTGACATTTATGTTCTGGCCACTCTGACGGAGACAAATAATCAACTGAGAGAAGACAGGTGAATTCAAGTATCATGTCTTACAAAAGTAACCTATTGTTCAGAACACTGCTGCAGCAGGGCTCAGCACCTGATGTCTCTGCTTCTCGATCCCTTCCAAACATCATTTGTGCTGTGGTTTGAAAACACATGCCAACATGGCTGAGGCTTTCCACATATCTGGCATAACTTTAAATATACTGCATAAGGTCACTGAGGGACTTGTGGTGTACCCGAAGGTGATTGGGAGGGGAATCTGGCAGTAGTTATCTTCATGACCACAGAGAATATAATCATGGATATGGTGTAACTACAGAGCACTTGTCAGCTGTGCTGTGAGATTTTTGTTCTTTCCCAGAAGTCAACTGCTGTTGTAAGACATGAAGTGAAGATAATGACTTCTTTTTCCATGTCTGTGCAGGTGCCACCCAAAGAGGAAGGAGACAGAAACTGAGTGCAAGGTCTATACCACTTGCCCTGGATGCCAGAGTACCTTTAAATCTGGTCCCCCATAGCCTGTATTTGGAAGCTTGAAGAGACACAGTTCACCTGAATGTGTGCATATGGGAGGACAAGGATCTGATCTCCAAGAACTTCAGGGATAGATTAAAAAACTGTTTAACATCTGACAGAGAGCCTGGATAGCCAGTTTTAAGAAAACAAACTCCAGGCTTAGAATCAACAGAACTCAGAAATCAACTAGGAACATATCAAAGGCTGCTAGAAGAATCAGATAAGCTCTAGCTTGGGGTTGAATGTATCTACGGGTGATTTTTGGTATTGAACAATCTGAAACTGGATGCCAAATGTCACAGAATCACAGAATATGCTGAGTTGGAAGGGACCCATCAGGATCACTGAGTCCAACTCCTGGCCCTGCACAGGAGTCACACCATGTGCCCGAGAACTTCTTGAACTCTGTCAGGCTTGGTGCTGTGACCACTTCCCTGGGGAGCCTGTTCCAGTGCCCAACCACCCTCTGAGGGAAGAACCTTTTTCTAATATCCAAACTAAACCTCCTCTGACACAACTTCAGGCCATTCCTTCAGGTTCTGACACTGGTCACCACAGAGAAGAGAACAGTGCCTGTCCCTTTACTTCCCCCTGTGAGGATGTTGAAGATCACAATGAGGTCTCCCCTCAGTCTCCTCCAGGCTGAACAGACCAAGTGATCTCAGCCACTCCTCATACGGCTTCCCGTCAAGGTCCTTCACCATCTTTGTTGCCTTCCTTTGGATGCTCTCTAAGAGCTGAATATCTTTCTTATATTGTGGTGCCCAAAGCTGCACACAATATTCAATGTGAGGCCACCTCAGTGCAGAGCAGAGCGGGACAATCCCCTCCCTCAACCACCTGGCAATGCTTTTCCTCATGCCCCCCAGGACACGGTTGGCCCTCCTGGCTGCCAGGGCACTGCTGACTCATATTCAACTTGCCATACACTGGGACCCCCAGTTTTTGTGGCACTGCTTTCCAGTATCTCATTCCCCAGTCTGTACATGCATCCGGGGTTCCCCCACCCCAGATGCTGAATCCAGCACTTTCCCTTGTTGAACTTTGTATGGTTGGTGACTGCTCAGTCGTCTGATTTGTCGAGGTCTCTCTGTGGGGCCTCCCTGCCTTCAAGGGAGTCAACAGCTCCTCCCAATTTTGTATCATCTGCAAACTTTCTAAATGCCCTTCCAGTCCTTTGTCCAAGCCAATTATGAAGATGTTGAGGAGCACAGGGCCTAAGATGGAGCCCTGTGGAACCCCACTAAGGAAAGGTCTCCAGCCTGATGTTCCCCCATTCACTATTACTCTCTGTGCTCGACCCATGAGCCAATTGCTCACCCACCACATGCTGTGTTTATCCAGCTGTAGGCTGGGAATTTTGTCTAGAAGGATCCTGTGAGAGACAGTATTGAAAGCTTTACTGAAATCCAAAAAGATTACATCAGCTGGCTTCCCTTGATTACCTAGGTAGGTTACCTTGTCATGAAAGGAAATCAGGGCTGATAAGCAGGACTTTCCTCTCAGGAAGCCGTGCTGGCTGTGATCAATCAACCTAGCATTGTCTTGCAGGTGTTTTTCAATCCTTCCCAGAATAATCTTCTCCATTACTTTTTTCCAGGCACTGAAGTGAGACTGACAAGCCTGTAGTTATCAGTGTCCTCCTTTTAGCCCTTCTTGAAAATCAAGACAACATTTGCTTCCAGTCTGCTGGGACATCTCTGGAACCCCAAGACTGCTCAAAAATCATTGAGAGAGGTTTTGTGATGACAATTTGAAATTAAAAAACCTCATGCTAATACCTTAATTTCTCCTTCTGATAAATTTCAGACATCCTGTCAAATAAAGAAGGGAGCTCTTTTTCACATTATGGTATTTGAAATAATCAAAACTTGTACATAAAATTATTACTGCCATCATCAGCTTACAATTTACCAGAAATCTTAGCAATGCATTGACTATTTTCTTTTAGAAAACAGAATCTCTTCCCATATCTTTTGAATACTGTGATTTCATAAACTAAAAGGTAAAATGAGGTTAAAATATACTCACTTATTTTACTTCTCACTTCATTTAGCTTTTCTCCAAGGCATTTAACTTCAGCAAACCTGTCAACGCAAGGATAATGATACAGAATTATTCTAAAGAACAACTAGTGAAAACTAGTCAATCACAATAAAATACTGAATTACTCAGTACTAATTTTTGATTGGTAAGTAGAAGTAATTGGAAACAATTTTCCATTAGAAAGATTATCCGGTCCAAGAGAAACCTTTCTGAAAGAAATCATGCAACAGATAAGTTTACTAGACAGACAAAACCAATGTATTTGACTTTTTAAGTTTTAAAAACTATGGTATCTCAACTCTAATGACTGGATTCTCTTAAATTTACTACACCACAGTATTATTCTTAATATGTTACTTTACTTGCAATGTTTTAACAAACAGTGATATAAAAGTAAAACTAAAAAATAACCCAAGCAAATTAAAACAGAACAATTGAAAGTATTAGAACTGCTCACTAGGAAATTTCAAATTTCAGCCTGTAATTAGCATATTGCCGATGAACACTGTGCTGTGTGGAAATATACATCCTAGTCACTAAGAAACCTCTCAAGCAGAAAATGTGAGAAAACTAAATGATGCTGTTCTTCTACAGATAGCCACTAAGTGAATGCAGACTTTCAGTTGATATTCAGCAGGTTGAGAAGGATGGAAACGAATGAATCAATCAGTCTTTGGAAACTCTCTTTTTCTAGAACGCAAATAGCTTGACCTCAAATCAAAACTGGAAATAAGTGGGAAATTCCCTCCAGGTATGTTTCTGAATGAGTTCACTGACCACTTCCTCATTATATTCAAATAATGAAATCTTCACATGGTATGTAAAATATTCTGATGATCAGAAGTTTCTTTTTTAGCTTGCAACAGCTCACTGTATGTCTTGCTTCTTAGGAAATGTGTCATATCTAAATGTATTCTTAAAAAACAGCTATCCACTGAGCCTTAAAAATTTATATTCTCTACATTTCTTACAGTCTGCTAGCACTTGATGCCTACTCCTTTTGTGCTTTTCTTCTGTCCGTTTTCTGATGTTTCACAGTAGTTGCTGTCATAATTATTCTCTTATACTTATTTAATTTGGTACTATATAAAACTGTCAGGAAAAATCAGGTTTAGGACATATCAGGTTTTCAAATGCCAAACATATTGTGCTGTAAAAATAATGACAATTACTTCAGTGTACAATGGTAAAGTCCAAGGAGGCACTGAGAGAACTGAGGCTATTTCAAGAAAACATCAATTGTAATAGTCTAAACAGTAATAGTTTAAAATTTAGAATGATGATTTGCTGCACTGTGACATTTGTTGTAGGACATCAAGATTAACATGAAACTCTCAGTTGTTACTTGTATGTGTACAAGTGGAACCTTGCAGAATGTGGAGGCAGAACTCTATTAAGCAAGACTTCAGGTGATCTGGAAGAGTCTTGCTCTAGACAAAGTAACTGAGGAAATCCACAAATTGTACTTCTGTCTAACTCAAATAATGGCAAAATAGAGTAAATAACCTCCCCCCCCCCCGAGAGGTGGGGTTTGAAAAACTGCCCCTTCTCAACTCGTCAATTTCCCTGTAAAACTGGAAGGAGTTAGAATTTCGGGTGCCTTCATTGGTATCTGCTCACAAACATACACTTTCAAAGCTGAATTCAACAAGACTAAATGGCTGGAGCTGGACGGTTCCTCAGCACTTACTCTTTCTTACATAAAGAAGGCAGAAGCCTTTGAAGCATCTGTGAGACTTTATATAAGCTTATTCTACTGGTGTTGACTTAGAGCCGCAAACAGCCATTGAAGAGTGTGTAAATATCAAAGGGAAGAAACCCCAAAGTACCTCCTCTTTCTTTCTCTCAGGTCCCACGAACCAAATAGCAAGTTCCTCAATAACTTAATTTTTGAGGCAAATCTCATGTTGACTATTAACTCTGATTCATGTTCACAGAGAGATTTATCCAGACAAGTTGAAGCTATCTATCTATCCAGTCCCTATTCATAGGCTACTGCCAATTGTTGAATGGATCATGCATGTTTCTCAAACACCATAGTTTATAAACTAGCACAATAACATAAACTGAAATTTGGCATTAATGTATGACAGTCCAATGGATTCCATCTGTGACTATGAGTCAGTCTAACAAAATAAACCAGGTAAAGACATAAGATTTGGCTCTAATATTAAAAGGTAAAAAGCTATTTTGATACTCTTCTAATTAAAAAAAAGGTGATATTATCTAACATTAAGCTGATATTGCTATGAATATTGACGAGTGAACAATTATATATTGTAAGCTGAAAAAACTTCCTGTGTATCTTACATGGAGACCACTCAACAGAAAGGCTGAAGTTGACAAATCATGGCTTCTATTACCTACAAGATAAATACTCCATGATGAAACCCTAAAGTGAATTTAGCCACTGATTTCAGTGGAACAAGCATTTTTGGCAAAGATTTCACTCTTTGAATGCAAGTGCCAGTAATTTAAAAATAAACTTCTTGAAAAACAAATCTCTAACTCATAATGTAAACCAAGACAAACTCAGAGGCTGTCTAATAAGACAGTGGAGACATTTAGTGAATTAAATGAACATTCACTTGTTTTTAATTATTAGAAATTACAACAACAAGTGACCTAAGTGAAACTCATCCTTTCCATGAAACTTGCCCATAGGTATTGAAAAAAACAAGTTAGTTGCTAACCAGCTGAAACACAGAAAGCAAGGAAAGAAGAAAATGGAAAATAGTGGATAAAACAAAATGGAAACTAGATTTACATCACATCTGTAAGCTCAGTAGAACTTTACTACTGGAAATACTGGCTAAGATGGGGCTTAAAAGCTTCGTGCAATCTGCAATATTACACTGGAATGGCTCATATGGGAAGATTTTTTGATAGTATATTTCACCAGAAAATGAGATGTATTTTTCTCCTCCTCAGAGAAACAATCCGAAGCGAACATGGTTATGTTGAGAAATAGAATGTTATTAAGTTCTCTGGAAGTCAAGTATAGGAAGTCCAAATTGCAGAAATCTGATTCTGTCTGGGCATAAACACATGGTTTTTTGGTGTTTTGTTTTGTTTAGTTTTGGCTTGGTTTTTTTTAAGCAGGGAAGAAGTTATTAATGTACAGAAGAAAAATAAAAAATAATTGGTTTGTATTAACTGTAAAGTAAGCTGTAGAAGGTCACCTTTTTTATCTTACAAAGGTACTCCTCATAGGCAACTGTCCTAATTGGATAGCTTGAAACTATTTTCTTTCACTTGAACAGTAATGAGCTTCATAAAGAAATTATCCTTAACCATATCAGACTTCCCACCTTTTAAATCCAGAGACAGTACTGAGCTACAGTACTAAGCTACTGCCTCTTTGAAGAGCTCTGAAGCAGAAGGTGAAAAGCTTTATTCAAACCCAGAATTTTTCTTATACATATATATATATTTTTTTTAACAAAACAAATGTTTTCAGTATTTGATTTAACCAAATGACTGCTTTTGAGCATTTATACAAGGGGAGTTACAGAAAAAAATACATGTATACTGTATATGTATGACCATATATAGTCACATCTATATGAATAATTTCACAGCCCAAGCAACAGTTGTGACCTTCACAGTGAAACTTCCAATTAGGCTCACTGACAGTTCACCATTCAATTAAGAATGATATAATGCGCACTCGATGTCTTACTGAGATGTACCTGGGACTCCTGAGGCAATAGGAACCAACAGGGAAACACCAGTGAAATACCTCAAAGGAATTAAGAAGTGCCCCTCTAAGAAGGTGACATGGTCAACAGTCCAGCTGAGGTGCCTTTGCACCAATGCACGCAGTGTGGGCAGCAAACAGAAGCTGGAAGCCACTGCGCTGCTAGAAAGCTGTGATCTAGTTGCTATTACTGAAACTTGGTGGGACAAATCCCATGACTGGAGTGTGGCTATTAATGGCTACAGGTTGTCAGAAGGAACAAGAGAGGAGGAGGGGTGGAGGGGTTGCTCTCTACATCCAGAGGAGGATTGAGTGTGAAGAGCTGTCTCTGAAGAACAGACACGTGCAGGCTGATAGCTGATGGGTAAGAATCAGAGACCGAGGCAACAAAGGGAACCTTGTGGTCGGTGTCTACTCCTTGATCAGGCCTCCTGATCAAGGAAAGCCTATTGCCAAAGCCTTCTTGCTCTGGCTACAGGAGGCATCACATTCACAGGCTCTTTTCCTGCTGAAGCACTTCAAACATGCCAACATCTGCTGAAAAAGTAGCATGGCAAGCTGTAGGCAATCCAAGAGGTTCCTGGAATGCACTGAGGATAACTTCTTAAGCAAGGTGGTGGGGGGATGCAATATTGGATCTATTGGTCACCAGTGTAGGTACACTAATTGGGGATCTCAAGACTGGAGGCAGCCTGAGCTGAAGTGATTATGCACTGGTGGAGTTCATAGTCCTGGAGAGATATGGGTCAGGCAAAGAGTAAAGTTAGGCTCCTAAATTTTAGGAAAGCAAAATTCCAGCTCTTCAAGGAGTTAGTTAATAGCATCCCCTGAGAAACTGCCTTCAGGGACAAAGGAGTTAAACAGAGCTGGCAGATCTTTTAGAATGGTTTCCATGAAGTGCAAAACTTCTCAATCCCCAGGAGAAAGAAATCAGGCAAGGAAGGCAAGGGACCAGCACGGCTCAGTTGAGACCTGCTGATCAATCTAAAGGGCAAGAAGGAAATGCACAGGCAGTGGAAACAAGGAGTAACCTAGGAAGAGTATAGTGGTGCTGCCTGGTTGTGTAGGGATGGAGTCAGGAAAGCCAAGGTGCAGCTGGAGTTGAACTTGGCAACAGATGGGAAGAATAATAAGAAGGACTTCTACAGGTATGTCAGTCAGAAAAGGAAGCTCAAAGAAAGTATACCCCTCCCTGATGAACAAGACTGGCAAACTGGTAACAATGGATGAGGAGTGTCACGGTTTGAGATAGCCCCAAAATCCAATTCCCCAGTCCTATCCCCCTGCCACATCTCAACCTAGTGAGAGATGATTCTTTCCAGACAAAACACACCAGACTCC